GATCACATCCTAGGTCACAAATCAGGTCTCAACTGGTACCAAAAGATTGGGATCATTCCTTGCATATTTTCAGACCACAATGCTTTGAAACTAGAACTCAATCACAAGAGGAAAGTCGGAAAGAACTCAAATACATGGAGGCTAAAGAGCATCCTACTAAAGAATGAATGGGTCAACCAGGAAATTAAAGAAGAATTAAAAAAATTCATGGAAACCAATGAAAATGAAAACACAACTGTTCAAAATCTGTGGGATGCAGCAAAGGCAGTCCTGAGAGGAAAGTATATAGCAATACAAGCCTTTCTCAAGAAACAAGAAAGGTCTCAAATACACAACCTAACCCTACACCTAAAGGAACTAGAGAAAACAGCAAATAAAGCCTAAACCCAGCAGGAGAAGAGAAATAATAAAGATCAGAGCAGAAATCAATGAACTAGAAACCAAAAAAACAGTAGAACAGATCAACAAAACTAGGAGCTGGTTCTTTGAAAGAATTAACAAGATTGATAAACCCCTGGCCAGACTTAGCAAAAAGAAAAGAGAAAGGACCCAAATAAATAAAATCATGAATGAAAGAGGAGAGATCACAACCAACACCAAAGAAATACAAACAATTATAAAAACATATTATAAGGAACTATATGCCAGCAAATTAGATAATCTGGAAGAAATGGATACATTCCTAGAGATGTACCAACTACCAAAACTGAACCAGGAAGAAATAGAACACCAGAACAGACCTATAACCACTAAGGAAATTGAAGCAGTCATCAAAAATCTCCCAACAAACAAAAGCCCAGGGACAGATGGCTTCCCAGGGGAATTCTACCAAACATTTAAAGAAGAATTAATACCTATTCTTCTGAAACTGTTCCAAAAAATGGAAATGGAAGGAAAACTTCCAAACTTGTTTTATGAGGCCAGCATTACCTTGATCACCAAACCAGACAAAGACCCCCATCAAAAAAGGAGAATTACAGACCAATATCCTTGATGAACATGGATGCAAAAATTCTCACCAAAATACTAGCCAATAGGATCCAACAGCACATTAAAAGGATTATTCACCACGACCAATTGGGATTTATCCCTGGGATGCAAGGTTGGTTCAACATCCGCAAATCAATGTGATACAATACATTAATAAAAGAAAGAACAAGAACCATATGATCCTCTCAATAGATGCAGAAAAAACATTTGACAAAGTACAGCATCCTTTCTTGATCAAAACTCTTCAGAGTATAGGGATAGAGGGTACATACCTTAATATCGTAAAAGCCATCTATGAAAAACCCACAGCAAATATCATTCTCAATGGGGAAAAACTGAGAGCTTTCCCCCTAAGGTCAGGAACACGGCAGGGATGTCCACTATCATCACTGCTATTCAACATAGTATTAGAAGTCCTGGCCACAGCAATCAGACAACAAAAAGAAATCAAAGGCATCCAAATCGGCAAAGAAGAAGTCAAACTCTCACTGTTTGCAGATGACATGATACTTTATGTGGAAAACCCAAAAGACTCCACCCCAAAACTGCTAGAACTCATACAGGAATTCAGTAAAGTAGCAGGATATAAAATCAATGCACAGAAATCAGTGACCTTCCTATACACCAACAACAAGAGAGAAGAAAGAGAAATTAAGGAATCGACCCCATTTACAATTGCACCCAAAACCATAAGATACCTAGGAATAAATCTAACCAAAGAGGCAAAGAATCTGTACTCAGAAAACTATAAAATACTCATGAAAGAAATTGAGGAAGACACAAAGAATTGGAAAAACGTTCCATGCTCATGGATTGGAAGAACAAATATTGTGAAGATGTCAATGCTACCTAGAGCAATCTACACATTCAATGCAATCCTTATGAAAATACCAACAACTTTTTTCAAAGAAATGGAGCAAATAATCCTAAAGTTTGTATGGAACCAGAAAAGACCCCGAGTAGCCAGAAGAATGTTGAAAAATAAAAGCAAAGCTGGTGGCATCACAATTCCAGACGTCAAGCTCTATTACAAAGCTGTCATCATCAAGACAGTATGGTACTGGCACAAAAACAGACACATAGATCAGTGGAACAGAATAGAGAGCCCAGAAATGGACCCTCAACTCTATGGTCAACTAATCTTCGACAAAGCAAGAAAGAATGTCCAATGGAAAAAAGACAGTCTCTTCAACAAATGGTGTTGGGAAAATTGGACAGCCACATGCAGAAGAATAAAACTGGACTATTTCCTTACACCACACACAAAAATAGACTCCAAATGGTTGAAAGACCTAAATGTGAGACAGAAGTCCATCAAAATCCTATAGTAGAACACAGGCAGCAACCTCTTCGACCTCAGCCGCAGCAACTTCTTCCTAGAAACATCGCCAAAGGCAAGGGAAGCAAGGGCAAAAATGAACTATTGGGACTTCATCAAGATAAAAAGCTTTTGCACAGCAAAAGAAACAGTCAACAAAACCAAAAGACAACCGACAGAATGGGAGAAGATATTTGCAAATGACACATCAGATAAAGGGCTCATATTGAAAATCTATAAGGAACTTATGAAACTCAACACCCAAAGAACAAATGATCCAATCAAGAAATGGGCAGAAGACATGAACAGACATTTTTCCAAAGAAGACACCCAAATGGCCAACAGACACATGAAAAAGTGCTCAACATCGCTCGGCATCAGGGAAATCCAAATCAAAACCTCAATGAGATACCACCTCACACAAGTCAGAATGGCTAAAATTAATAAGTCAAGAAATGACAGATGTTGGCGGGGATGTGGAGAAAGGGGAACCCACCTACACTGTTGGTGGGAATGCAAGCTGGTGCAGCCACTCTGGAAAACAGTATGGAGGTTCCTCAAACAGTTGAAAACAGAGCTACCATACGATCCAACAATTGCACTACTGGGTATTTACCCCAAAGATACAAATGCAGGGATCCGAAGGGGTACGTGCACCCCGATGTTTATAGCAGCAATGTCCACAATAGCCAAACTATGGAAAGAGCCAAGATGTCCATCGACAGATGAATGGATAAAGAAGATGTGGTATATATAAAGAATGGAATATTTTGCAGCCATCAAAAGGAATGAAAACTTGCCATTTGCAATGACGTGGATGGAACTGGATGATATTATGCTGAGCGAATTAAGTCAATCAGAGGAAGACATGTATCATATGACCTCACTGATATGAGGAATTCTTCATCTCAGGAAACAAACTGAGGGTTGCTGGAGTGGTGGGGGTGGGAGGGATGTGGTGGCTGGGTGACAGACATTGGGGAGTGTTTGTGCTATGGTGAGCACTGTGAATTGTGTAAGACTGTTGAATCATAGACCTGTACCTCTGAAACAAATAATACATTATATGTTAAAGAAAAAAAAAAGAAGAAGAAGATAGCAGGAAGGGAAGAATGAACGGGGGGAAATCAGAGGGGGAGACGAACCATGAGAGACTATGGACTCTGAGAAACAAACTGAGGGTTCTAGAGGGGAGGGGCGATGGGTTAGCCAGGTGATGGGTATTAAAGAGGGCATGTACTGCATGGAGCACTGGGTGTTATATGCAAACAATGAATCATGGAACACTACATCAAGAACTAATGATGTAATGTATGGTGATTAACATAAAAAAAGGTTTACATTTAAACCATGCAAAGAAAGAACAAGTTGCAGATCATAGCTCCACAAGAACCCTTTAAAGAAGAACAAATGGAAATACCCCATGGGCTCCATTAGTATATTTTACATATAAAATATTTATTATGTATTATACAAGCAAGCTATCCTGAGTATTCACCACACAGCAGGCACTGCGCTTACATACACAGCACATGGTTAGAAGTACGGGCTCTGAGCCAGAGCACCTCAGCTCAAGTCCCTCTCTACCCCTCAAAGCTGTGTGACCCTGGGTGAGTAAGGGAACTTGGTTTCTTTTTATTTAGTAAGAATAAGAGGAATAACTACTTCATTGTGGTAATAATAAATGAATAATCTAGTGTTTGGCATAGAGCAAATGCTTTGTGAATGTTAGCTAAAACTATAACTGTCATATCATTTAATTCCTACAATTACCCTACAAGTACTCAGGACACTAGGACTCATGGAGGGAAAGCCTTTGCTAAACCCGTCACTAAACCAGGTTGTCTAGCTCCTGAGTCTGTGGTCTTAACTACTGTGTCCACTACTTTGTGTGCTAAGCGTTGCCCTGCGCTCCTTCCACTGCCCTATTTCCCTAGCCTCCACCCCATCCCGGGAAGTGCATTTCAGAAAACACCCTTCCAGTGACTGAACTTACTCAGTTTTCCAAAAAGAATCTCCAATACTCTTCAGAGGACAGGAAAACAGTCTTTAGGGGAAAAAAAACATTACTAATCAATACAGGCAACATCAACTTGCCTCTCTGATTTCTTCAAACAGTTTGATGGCATGTTCATACTCGGGAGGCTCAGCATTCAGTTCTGACTCCAGGACGTCCCAGAAGGCCTGGTGGACAATGTGCTTCACTCGACTGGCTAAGCTACAGAAAGGAAATGAATTGCTTTTAAAAATAAGCATTATTTTTCCTGATTATAAAAGAAATGTGCTCATTGTAGAAATCTTAGAAAATGCAGATTAAAAAAACCCAGAATAAAAATGGCCCATAATCTCATTTTTAATCTTTTGACATATTTCCCTGGTTCAAAGCATTGTTTTAATATAGTTGAGGATAACGAGTAGATATATTATATACTCATTTCATTTAATATTCTGTCCTGTTTCCCCTAGACTTTAAAAATGCTTTCTTGCTATAGCTTTCAATAAGTTCATAAAATTCTGTCTTAAGGAGATGCCATAATTTACCCAGCTACTCTTTAGATCTTTAAACTTGTTCTAGATTTTGGGAGTGAGATGGCAAAGTAGCTTTTTCCTCAACAGCTGAAGTTTCATTGCACAGAATAGAACAGATTAGCCCCAAGGAGACATGCATGTGAACTGCTGCCAACTGCAGTTGAGATGTCCCATTTAAAGTTAGCCGGATCAAACTGCTGAAATAGGAACCTTCCTAGGAAGAGCTCACAATAGAGTGTAGGTGGCCACTTTATTCACTGCTTATGTCAATGCCCTAAAATAGGTGCACATTTAAATACACATCCCTACTGACCTCCTACATTTGACAACAGTTTTAAGAAAAGCACATATTTCCCTGCACTGTACTTATGAGTCTCCATCCCCTAAAGGTCATACATCTCTCCCAGGCAGAGGCCATAACTACTTCTTCTTCTAAGTACCTGCCACTGTACCTAGCACACTACCTGGCATACAGTGAGTATTTGATGAATGCATGGTGAATGAATTAATAATTTGATAGTTAAGCACATCTCCTAATTTTTCTTTTTGGAATATAAATAGCTAAACATACAATAATGCTATGAGAAATTAAAATTAGCTTTCTAAGGGGTGTGAGTTAAAATTGTTTCTATAACTGCAAATGCTATATTCCACTCAGCAACTTTAAATGTTAAAACTTACTCTGGTTGCCTGACTAGTTTCATTCAACATAAATTCTATTTCTAAAGTTGACCCTCCTGAGCAACTACAGAACAATTAGAAAGGCAAACATTGCTGGCATGAACTTTCACTCTGGACTTTACAAGCCTCACATAGTTGGCTTGAATGGACCAACCAAGAAGGAGCTACAACAACTTTAGAGCTCCTGCAGGGATATCAGAGTTTAAATGTAAGTTTTCCTAAAGGCTGAAAGATATTTTTTAGCCTTTCAATCTTCTGGTGGATGGTAGGGAAGGATGAGATCAATCAAATCATTTACAAGCATTCCTACTGGCTATCAGAAATTGGACATATTTTGCCAAGTCTTTTCCCCCCAAAACAAGATTTGGTTAAATATGAGAGTCAGTGACATTTTTAAAAGTAACAACTTGGCCATTTGTGGACAGTCATCTGAAAAATCAACAGGTCATCATATGCCATTTCATTTTTAAATAAAGGTAATTGTCCTAAGTTTGCATTTTGCTTTCCTTGCTCACATTTTCCAGCTATGGCAGAAAATGAAAGAAGGAGGCATTCCTATTTCCCATGGTATCAAAATACTTATTATGTTCAAGGCACTCAGATGCCCATGAGCCTGCATTTGAAGTGAGCATTTTAGTCCCCATCATATCCTTGGGGAACATGAGGCTCAGAAATGGTCTCAGCAGAGCCAGGATTCAAACCCAGAGCCTATCTGATCCTAAAGTGCCTTCACTAATGCCTGTATTTGCAACTTTTGAATTTAAAGTATAAATATTTTCAAACTATCTTTTGCTGTACTTCATAAAACACACTAATTTTAACTTCAAACATTCATTTTCATTAGTCAGTCAAAAATGTTTATAAGGCATCCAATATGGCCAGACCCTCTTTTAGGTAGTGTGGTTACTATAGCAAAAAGAAAGTGTTTGCTCTCAAAAAGCTTATTTGTTAACAGGGACAGGAAGACAAAAACAAAACACATTAAAAATAAATAAGGCAGTTTCAGAAACATAAGGAAGACAGAATAAAACAATGTGGTAGATAGTGATGGAGAGGGTGCTAACTTCACTGGTGGCTGAAGAAAGCTTCTCTAACACACTGCCCTTTGAGTTGAGACTTGAAGGAGGAACAAAAAATCAGCCAGTGAAAATCTAGGGGAACAACACTGAAAAAGCAGAAAGAAGAAGGACAAAGTCCTTGAACAGGATTGAGCTGGTGTATTCCGGGGTCGGCAATGAAGCCAGGGTGGCTGAAGCATAGCAAGCAGGAAGGAAAGGAGTGAGAGACATGGTCTTGGAAGTAGGGCCTTGCTGCCATACTAAAGGGTTTGAGTTCTTAGTCTAAGTGTAATAGAAAAACCACTGAAGGATTTTAGGCAAAGAAATAGGGACCTATTCTGATTAACCCTTTAGAAAGATCACTCTGGCTACCGTGTGGATATGGAGGATGGATTATGGGGAGCTAAGGATGCTGAGACAGGGCAACTAGTTAGGACTTAAAGAGTCGAGGTCAGACATGACGGTGGCCTGGCCTAGGAGTGTAGCAGTAGAGCCGGTATAAAGGATTATGGTGAAATGCAGTTACCATAGACAACCAAACAGATATACCTATTTTGGCCAGTAATCTTAAAAAATATTGATTATTACGAATAATAACCCCAGGAGCAGGAGGATTCTGATCCACATTTCAAAGAAGGAAAATTATTGTTTGCTACTTTCCTGCTTTAAAACAAATAAACATAAAAGCTCTAAATAGAATCAAATATTATATTTTGTCTTACTTGATAAAGGAAATGCCTCTGGATTTATAAATGACACTGTGAGGTTGAAGATTCAATGCCATTATTCGTGAGCTAACTTTGCCTGTAAAGATGAGTTATCTGTAGTTACAGCTTCAAGCCTTTTCTCCCAGGGGATTTACGAGCCACCAAAGTTAGAGAGGCTGAGGTAGGATATAAGGGCATGGCTCTAACTAGAGGTCCTTGGGCTGTGGGTTTGGGGTGTGTGTGAGGTTAACCGGGGTGCCCATGTAGTTGTGATTCCTACCTCCAGATGCTTCTGAATCACCTCTTAGCACTTTGGCAGCTCCACTACATTTATTTATCTTTTACAACCTGAATATCAGTTTTTAAGAAGTCAAGCTGCAGGGGCGCCTGGGTGGCTCAGCCGTTAAGCGTCTGCCTTCGGCTCAGGTCATGATCCCACGGTCCTGGGATCGAGCCCCACATCAGGCTCCCTGCTCGGCGGGCAGCCTACTTCTCCCTTTCCCATTCCCCCTGCTTGTGTTCCCTCTCTCACTGTCTCTCTCTCTCTCTCTCTCTCTCTTTCTCTGTCAAATAAATAAATAAATAAAATCTTGAAAAAAAGAAAGAAGTCAAGCTGCAAACATTTCTTGAGCATGTACTAAATGTCAGGTATTCTGTTAGGTAATGGGGATACAGCAGCAAACAATATAGACATAGTTCCTCTATTAATGGTGTTTTGGCCACAAAAGGCGAAGACAGACACTGAACATAAAATTATAAGGCTTACTAATAAAAAGGAGGTAGGGGGCAACAGGAGTCTTTAGGAAGGGGATTTAATGTAATCTAGTACTCTCAGGAATGTCAGGAAAAGCTTCCCTCAGGAAGTGACATATAAGCTGAGTTCTAAAGATTATGGGTAACAGATACCCTTGAGGAATGGTTTTAAAAACAAGTATAAGACCTTGCTAGAGAACTAACCAATGTTTACCCCTGGTGGCTATTATACAAGACTTCTAGGAATCAGTGTGAATGTGTATGTATGTGTGAGACTCTGCAGCTCAGTTTACACATAACAAACACCTCTGGGTTACCTGTTCTCAGGGAGGGCTTCTTGTTTCAATTGAAAGTTCTCATTTACAGCAATTTCGTGAGCAAGTGTCATGTTTGATAAGTTCCTTGCTGCAGCCATCACTTCGTCAAATGTTACAACCCTGGGAGGGCTTGTTGCTGAAACAAAAACAAAACGCAGTTCATGTCATGGAGGAAAAGCTGTCATCCAATGAAGCCTCCTGATGCAGACTGAATTTAAGTTATTCTAACATATATATTCAGGGTTTTACAAGTAAGAAGAATATATACTAAATTAGGTAGATTTCCCTGCTTACTACTTAAGACTTCAAAAATTCAAGAACTCCTTTGGTAGCTTCAGTTACTGTATTGGTAATAAATTCTCAAATGTTTTAGAGACTATCTCATTAGTATAAGCTATTATAAGTTATTTTTCTTTTATTAAATCACCTCATATTTTAGTACCTATTGATATCTGCATTTATTATACATACTATGCAGGAACTTGATAAGACTACTTTTATTCTGTAATTCGTAACTCATTAATTTAAGCAGACTCAAGATGAAATAATTGATTTTTTAAAACTATAACTTCTAAAAGTATACGCAGTGTAGCATAATGTTTAGGTTTGATTCCAATTTTTTCCAATTGGTAGATATTATTTGACTTCACTAAGGCATAACTTACCTCCTCGGGGCTGTCTTTAGGTGATTAAATAAGATAAGAAGAACAAAGTAAGAATTTCATAAATGTAGATAATTAAAATATAAGCTGGATAATCTACTCAGTAGGAAGTAGTATATAAAGAATTATTCTACTTACTTCTAAAGATTATTCTAAAAAATTATTCTAATAAACCATGTCTTTAAAAAATTACTATTGGAACTCTTAGGTTCAATTAATTAAAAATCATTACCTCAGACAACAGTACTGACTGGCATTATTTTGCTACCTAAAATAATTTCTCAAAGGAGGAGGAGGAAGAGGAAGACCATGTGGAGGAGGAGGGGGAGGAAGAGGAAAAAACGGTGATAACATGGAATTAGTAAAACCCCTCTTTAGGATGCCTGCCTACCCTGTCAGAGGAGCCTCATATATAATACAAACAGTGAGAAAAAGCACAGAAAGCTAGGTGGCTGCTAGTAAATTCTTTTCTCAATTCTCTGTCCCATTAAGATTCTTTTAAAAAATGTCTGTACCCTTGGGTCCAATAATCCAATTATATCCAAAGGAATTCCTGGAAACCTTAATGCACCAAGATGTTCATAAAGCACTATTTGTAACAGCAAAAAAAAAAAAAAAAAAGAGGAAATTAACTCAATGTCCAATGATAAATCAATGGTTAAATAAATTTATGGTATATTCATTTGATGAAGTAGCTTTAGTGTATTAAAAGTATGTTATATCATCAGTAAATGTTTTAGTTATAATTCTTTTTTTTAAGATCTGTTTATTTGTTTGGGAGGGGGAAGGGCAGAGAGAGAGAGAGAGAATCCAGAAGCAGACTCCCTGCTGAGCATGGAGCCTAATGTGGGGCTCGATCCCAGGATCCTGAGATCATGACCTGCGCTGAAATCAACAGTTGGCCACTTAAATGACTGAGCCACCCAGGCACCCCATGTTTTAGTTATAATTCTAAGTGAAAAGAGTCTACACATGTATACACACACATATGTCTATGTGAAGAATGAATTTGACAAAGTGCCACCAGCTGTCATCTTTGGGTGATACTATGGGCAAAATTTTCTTTTCTTTATACTTATGTACTTTCCAAATTTTTAAAAAATGAGACTGTATAAATTTAAAATAAACACAAATGAACAAACGTGTTTGAAGTGGACATTTGATATTTTAGACATTAGTTGCTTCTTTCTGCATTTGCTTTGTCTGTTTAAGGTGTTATATTTCCTATGCAAAATGTCAATTAAAAAGCTAAAAAAAGACAAACACACTTGCTTTACACACCTCTAGCTTCCACACACAAGGGAAAAGACATCTCCCTCACTGTGGCCACTTTTTTAACTTTCTCACACCCCTAGTGTAGTAATTCTCCTTGTGGGCAATTTTGTGCAGTGATTTGCACAACAGGTTTTGAAATCAGCAGGAAGCCCTTTACATTATTTCACTTCCTGCCCGTCCCTTAAATTGGGGCAAGTTTCCTTCCATGTTAATCGGCAATTATCAGAAAAGACCAATTTGAACTTATCCTTCAATGTTGCCCAAGAAGTGATCTCAAGAGGGAGTGGCTTTCCACTACTCAAGAGAAAAGACAGGTTGGGTTTGGGAACCTGATTTATAATCAAACCAAAACAGATCAGAGACAGTTACGAAAATAAAAATGGGCAGGTTGTATAACTTTAGCAGCTATTTACTCCTGCCTTTGCAGTGCTATTACGGTACATCTAGAAAGGAGGGGGAGTCTCTACTCTGCTCTCATTCATTTATGAGTTTTCTAATCTAACACACGTCTAGAACGAACAGCCCCCCACACCCCACCCCCCAACACCTGCTCCCCCATCAGCTTACAAGCAGGAGAGCTGGATTTGCTGGAAGAGTCGCTTGTAAAGCTCTGCCTGGAGCACTCAGAGTCACTGAGTGAAGCCATGCTTTCGGAAAACCGGGAAGAGTCTGAATCGCTTGGCTGGTCCTCGCCCACACACTGCTTCTCACCATTGAAGGGCATCTTGTGTCACTCAAGTGTGGGCAAAGAGATGGTGCCTGCATAGACAAATAGACCTGCATCAATGCTCTGTGGTACTTCCACCAGCATCTGCGATGCTTCTTCCAGTGTAGACAGTTTTGCCCACAGGAGTCACAGTGTTGAAAGGTCCCAGAAGATAACCTCATCTTTCCCATAGCAGCCAGGCTATTACCAGGCCTTCAAGACTGCCTTCCAGAAAAGAGATTCCAGAGCCCTAAGTGTGAACTTGCTCAGGACATACATAGTGTGAATGTGGAACAGCTCTCAGCAATAACAGATCCTTTCAAAATGAGCAGAAGACACAGTCTTTCTCTTCCTGGGTTTCTAAAACATGGAAGGTAAGAGTAAGAGGGTGGGGCCCTGAGGCTGGACTGCCTAGGTTAGAAGCTCATGCTGTCTTTGCCATGTGACCTTGGGAAAGTCACTAACCCACCCACCTGGAGTAAAACTGGGCTGAAAGACTAAACTTACAGAGTTGCTTGAAGATTAAATAGGATTAATCTTATTAAAGTGCTTAGCACTCAAATGTTAGTTATTATTACCGTTCTTATGGCTTTGTTTTAAATGAACTATTTTCGAAATCAGCCTCTTCAGTTCCTTGTGAGCCTCTTGGGGAAAGGAGAAGACTAAAATCTCTGGCTGGCAAGTCTTCAGGTTCTTCTCCATTTTCCTGTGAACTGCCATGATATAAAGACTAAAGCCTGACCCTGGGTTTGCACTTGACAGCTGACTTGGTACCCACTACTACCCGATGAACAGGCACCAAAGATCCTGATTCATGAGTGAAAGAGACAGACTCTGAGGGACGAGGGGACTTACCATGCCATAAAACCAGTCCCTTGACTCTATCTATGGCCAGTGCTCTATCTGGGACATCAGATTGCCTCCCAGGTAAGAGCAGGGCACTTGGGCCCAGTCACCCCCTTGAAAGGAGATCCTGGGCACATAGGATGCCCCAGCCTGAGCCCAGGAGCATCAGCCAAGGCCCAGGAGGGAGCTGGCTCTGATATGTATGGTGTTAGCTGACACTAAGGAAAACCTGGCCCCGAGGAGGAAGATGCAAGTCCTGAATAGACGATAATGATAGTAAGGGTTCACTGAATCTCTTTAAACCTGAATGCAGCCGGTGCAATGAGGTATATAGAGCTTTTAAAGCTACAAAAACTTGAAAACACAGCCACGCATAGTATGTCTGGAAATCCTGCACAGTTTTTTCAATGATTCCTTTCATATTTATTGAATGCCTACTATGCAGCAGCACCAGGAAAGGTTAACAGTGAACAAAAGAGACAGGGCCCTACTCTCATGGGTCTCAAGTCTAGTTACCTACAACTGTGTGTGTTGGAGGCTAGAAGATGAGAAAAGGAGAAACAAGGCATTGCTGGGGAAGCACAAGAAAGGAGAGACCAGGTGAGACTGTGGGGGAATCTAGCCTTTGTTGAGAGAAATGGTGCCATTTTTTATCCTTTGGGTGGTAACAGAGACAAAGATGAACCTCAGAGGAACTTTAATTAAAGGTAAATGCCTAAGGGCATTTGCCCCTGGCCTCACCTAAACAACCCTCTTCAGTCCTGCCAATTGTGCACCTTCCTGGGCCCACCACTTTCACAAACAGAAAACCACTAACTCAGAGGCTGCCTTTGCAAGGAATCCAGTGAAGCTGCCAGGAAGCTACCATGTAGAGAGGTCTGTCTGCCTTGTCCTAGACTCCCAAGGCCAACCACCACCAACACAGGCTATATATAAAATAGCCCTGAACCCCTGCAACCTCAGTGGGGAAATAACTTCCTTCACCACATGCAAACTAGTTTCTACTTGAGCTTTAACTCCCATCTGCTGGGGGGAAGGGAACAGAGGACAGAAGAAAAGGGTCTGCTTTAACTCTTTCACTTCCACCAAACCCCAATCCTAAATGGAATACTTACTCTTCCGTCTAGATTTCTCTCTCACTCTCTTTGCCAACATTTTACGTCTCACTGATGGCATTTCTTGAAAACGCTACCTTCCTCAGGAAGCCTTTACTCCCTGGCCAGAGTGAATGACACTCTTCTTTCTACATCTGCAGCACATGTCCTATATCCCCACCATAGAGCTGAGTCCCTTGTACACTTATTTTCTTCCCATGGCTACTTCTGACTCTCCTTAATAAGGCAGGGACTGTGTCTTGTCCATTGCCAGTGTCAAGTACGTGGCAAGTATTCATTTAGTGTCAGCTGAATCGGAATCACTGAATCCCATTTGGTACAGCTTCAACCAGAACATTCGCAAACTGATATCAGTGCACACTTACAGGCCTGTTACTGCCAAAGTTAATGCTCTGGAGCAGAGAACCTACCACTTAAACCTACTTTATTAGGTTTAAGACTCAATATTCCCTGGTCCTGATCACACTCTTATTTGAATATTTTAAACTTCATTTCCATTTTATTTTTTTTTTCCATCATTCCACCATAACAACTGTGCTCTGTATGCTCTGCTCTTATTTTTTCTTCACTTTGGCTGTTTTTCCAAGTAAAGGTGAATAAAAGCTTTCATCCATTGGAATTTATGAACTAGGTTAATAGTTGTAACTGTCCATTTCATTTTTCTACTCCAACTGAACAGCACACTTTGTAGGTTCCTTAATTGTGTTTAACAAGGCAGCAAAGTACAAAGATTTAAAAATAAAAAGATGTAGGTTAGGAGTTAGAAGGCTAGAGTCTGAGGCCTGAATCTGTCATTAATTTGCTATGTGACTTTATGCACATCACATCGGCTAGCTTCATCTCATTTTTCTGAGCAGGTTGGGCAAGCTATAAGGTCCCTTTCAGCTAGGAATTGCTAAAATTCTATAAACCCAGAGTTCCATGAGGCTTCACTAGAAGTTCTGAGAAATTAAATGTGCTCATGGCAGACATACTTAATAATGTGCAACTATGCTTCCTTCCAAAAATTCACTGGAAGTAGAGTTTCTGGCACAGGGAATGCAACAGAAAATGTGAAAGCTTCAAAATGTTTAGACACTCTTGTTTGGATGGTAGAAGCCTCCATAGCACAACTGGGCTTTAGTGCATCCAAGGAGAAACTTTCCTTTGAAGCCCAAATGTCCATTATTATTCTATAAGGAAACTGCCTGTTTCCTCCTCTAGGCATACTAATAATACCCAATGCATAGGGTTGGTGTGGGACTACATTTAGTCAATATGTGTAGAGTACTTGGAACAGTATCTGACAGAAAAACAGGATATAGATTATTGCTATTATTAGTATTATTTGCATTTTTTCTTGTTATTATCATTTCAGGCATTAAAAACTCTAGAAGGGAGAACTGTTTTATCCCAAGATGATAAAAGCATATTCCCCTACAGACAAACAAAACTGCTAGTTAACCTACAGCAGAGCTCTTGCACTTGTCATAGATACTTGCACAGCTTTAGATACTAAAGCTGAAAGCAAAAGGCCCATTCCAGTGCAAATGGTCTTCTGCAAGCTCGTTCACATCTGTTCTTACTTTTCTTGGTCTCGGGTTTCCATATAAGTCATCTGGGGACAAAGCTACTTGACTCAAAAGGCATTGAGGGTAATTAGATGGCTTTAAAAACTATTTTGGATTCTCTCTTAGAATAGTGATAATAAAACCAGTCTATTTCTTTAAGAAAGGTAATGCTTCTCATACTGACAAACTTAGACCTACTTAACTTTCACCACTACCAATCACAAGCAAACCACACAACTTTTAAGAAACACCACATCTCATCCTACCTGGAGGATTTACTACTGGCCAAAGGTAAAGTCAAAGGTGAAAACAGTGGATAACTCCAAGCAAAGCCTCCAACACTACAGTGGGTCACCATCAAGGAGAATAATCACATTCTTACTACATTCTTTCTCATTTAATTAAGTTCAATATTATATAATTTCTTCCAAGACCAATGACTGGGATGCAGCTGACATTTAAACATTTATTGTTGAATGAATGGCAATATGATCATTGACATTTTAGAGAGGAGGAAATGGGTACAGGGATCCCAAAGGGGATAGTTCTGTGACCCATGACAGATAGAAGGGAAATGGGTTTTTTTAATTTGCTAGTTGACTCCTTAGCCTGTGCCCACACTACCAACTTTACTTCTTTATTTCCTTTTCATAGCAAACTCATCTGCAAATGGTCCAGCACAGATTCAGGATTAGAAAGATCCACCAGTGACAATGTACATGTCCACAAAGCAGTAAGAACACTGGCGCTGGAGTCAAGTGGACTGGGTTCTTGATCCTGACTCTTGATATCTACTGACTAGAGAGAGGGAACTTAGCCATTTGTAAAATGGGGCTAATAATAGTATCTACCTCATAGAATTGTGAAGATTAACTGAAATAGTCTATGTAAAGTACTTAAGCTCCTAGTAAGTGCTTGACAGATTGTCAACTATTATTTTATTCTTACTAAAAGAAATTATGATTTCCAAACATGTCAATGTCATAAAAACAAAGAAAGGCTGAAGACATGTTCCAGATGAAAAGAGACTTGACAACTGAGTGAAACAGATGATCCCTGACTGAACCCCGTACCAGAGAGGAAAAAACACTATTATTGGATCAATTAACAGCACCGTTACAAACTTTACTGTCTGTATTACAATGTTAAATTTACTAAAGTTGATAAATGTACTGTGACTACATATTAGGAATAAAGGGCCATGATGTATGCAACTTTCTCTCGACTAATTTAATGAGAAAAAGAAAAAACAATAAGGCATATGGAGCAAAATGTTAACAGATGAATATGAGTAAAAGGTAGACAATAAGGAATTCTTTGTAGTGTTCTTACAACCCTTTCTGTAAGTTTGAAATTATTTCCAAGGGAAAAATTAAAAGAGAAGTACTAAACCAAAACTCCGAGTCTAATTCAGAATAGTCGGGCTCCTGTAATTTTTAGATTTTGATTGTTCCCACTGCTGGGATAGCTTAGATCCTGTTCTATTATAAAAGCTCTTCTAGACAGTCTGGCTTGTCCCAATGTCCTTCTTGAACAGTGTCTAGAGAATAAAACAGGAAATAGGCCAGAGCCCTTCAGAAGAGGCACAATATATCATCCCTTTTAAGAGTTCATCTCCCGGTGGTTTCCCTTTTCTTAAGAAGTTTCCTGGCAATGGTTTATATTCCTCTGTGATTTGGCCTCTGCCTACACCATCCCATATCACTCTTCCCCTAACCCTTCCTGCTACAGACACAATGGCTTTCTTCAGGTTCCTCAGATATGCCAAACTTCCTACTTTGGAGCACTTGAACCTGCTATTCTCTCCCGTAGCATGTTCTCCTCCCTGATCTCCATGGGATGGGCCCCTTGTTGTCGTTCAGGTTTGAAATTAAACATTACAACTTCACAGTGACATTCCCTGAGAGCCTCACTCCATCTAAATTAGCCATCTAGAGCTGAGAACACTTCCTGGGATAGAGGGGGAGCCGGAGGAGTCTCACTGAGAAACAAATTAAGCCACACTCGTATTCATATTACAATTTGGGGTTTCCTTCCCTCCTGCCTCACTCACATTGCTCATATTCCCATTATGCAGTCACTTAAAGTACTATAGTTGCTATTTACATATCTGCCTCCCCACTAAATTTTAAGCTGCTTGCAGGAAGGGCTATGTCTCTCTCCCCTTTCCAATTCCCAGTGCCTGCCTCTACACATTTCCCAGGCACCTAAAATTCAAACTAGCAAAGACTCAGAGTTCCAGAGCTTAAAGAAATGTTTACATTGTGTCTTTCCCCTTTCTTAATGCTCACTGATAGTAAATGATAACAATTAGAGCTAATAGTTACTGTGTGCTTATTATACCACAGCCCCCATAAGTGCTGTGTTTTATCTCCTTGAATCTTTATCATAACCCTGTTAGCTGAGGTATTGCTATTATCCCCATTTTATAGATGAGAACCTGAGGCTCAGAGAGGTTAAATTACTTGCCCTAGGGTTCACAGCAGTGGCAGAAGCACAGCTGAAATCCAGGCCATGGATCCCTAATAGCCCATGCTTTCTACCACTCTAGGATGGCTGGAGAAAATTTGGTGTGCTGCTCATTCTTTCCACTCTCAGTCTGCCAAATCGATCTACCCAACACCACGTGGATACTTGCATATGTGGTAACAAGCTGACCTTACCCCGGGGTGGCAGCTCAAAGTGCTATACCGTGAAGGGCATCACTGAAAGAGTCTATTGTCCAAAATAATTCTCAACCACCCCACTAGAGTAAATGAAAATCCTCTATCAGGGAGCCATTCTTTAAGTACTGCAAAATCCCTAGTTAAAACCCGCATATTATCAAAAGTCTTAATTGCTTACAACTAATATAAAAAACATTTTGAGGTGAATTATTCAGATTTTCCAGCAGTGCTCTGGACAAGGAATGGAGCCCAACCAGTTAAGGTTAGGTCGTGGAAATGAGAAATTTCAAGAGCTATCTAGTGGGTGTCATCCTTGAAGACCAGGTCAAGGTCATATACAAAGACAAGCATTCACATACGTGTAGTAAAGGGCAAGGAGTCAGAAGAAAAAAATGGTAGATGGTGTGGAAAATTACCATCTTCTTTTTTTTTTTTTTAAAGATTTTATTTATTTATTTGAGAGAGAGAGAATGAGAGATAGAGAGCACAAGAGGGAAGAGGGTCAGAAGGAGAAGCAGACTCCCTGCTGAGCAGGGAGCCCGATGTGGGACTCGATCCCAGGACTCCAGGATCATGACCTGAGCCGAAGGCAGTCGCTCAACCAACTGAGCCACCCAGGCGCCCGGAAAATTACCATCTTCTGCAAATGCTGCTTTAGAACCAGTCCCAAACAGCAGTGCTAAAAAGTTATTCATATGCAGCAAGGCATAAACCACAGAGCAGAGAGATAGGTTCCTGCTCCATTCAGCTAGAGAATACTGGTCTTCATCAATTAGAGCCAACAAAGAGCTAGATAAAAGCCAACAAGCCAGGCATTGTCTAAGAAAGCAGATGTTCATGCAACACATAACGTTACAGCATCAGGGAGAAGGATTTCTAGGCACTTTTCACACTTGGAAACACTTCTCCTCCCACCCCTGGCTGGCCAGTCTAATACCTGTATTTCCTCCTCTGGGGCCCTCAACCCCTCACAGAATGGCACCGAAGCTGCTTCCACACAGGACTGGCTATCTCCAGTCCTGGGCCACTTCAAGTGAGGCAACCCGCAGGCTGCCAGAGTGATGTATGAAATCCCTGGAGGCAAGAGGACAAGGCAGGCAGGGAGCCACCTAAAGTGGGAACCACTGCGATAACCTACCTCATTCTGATCGGCAGGCGGCAAAGAGCAGGGTCTCTGGCTGGGCTGGAGGCCATGAGACCACAGGGATCTTGGGGGCGGAGGGGCCCACTGGGGACGAGGACAACTTGCCTGGTTTCTCAAGGTTAAAGTAACAGGACAACCACTTAAGACAATTATTTCCCAAACTTCAGTCATTTGGCTACCACTGTTCACGCCTGTTGCCACATCTCCATCCTCATCTCTACTCTAATTTATCAATCACTTCTATCTTGACTAGATTTTTGCATTTAAATACATTTATTTTAAAAGGAAACTTTATATCATTGTGAAATTGCTTGTTTAATGGTTTTTTCCAATACTAACGAAAACGCAGAACCCTGTTCGTCCTCGTGCCACCTCCAATCTGCGCTGTTACCCCAGTGGTGCCATCCAGCGGCGCGGCTTTGGGAAGCACTAGCAATCTCCGAGAGGCCAGAGGTTCGAACCCGGGGGTCTGACTGGCATCTCCCGCCTCGTCGCCTGACAGTCGGCTCCAGGGCAGGCACCGGGAGTCTGCACAGCCCCCCTCCGGCCGCCCCTCCCCTCCAGCAGCACGTTTCCTGTCAAAACAAACCCTTGGAGGAGGGGACGGCGGAGGCCGAGCCGAGTGCCAGGGAAACCCCGTAAACAAACCCCCAACACACGCGTCGAGCCGAGCCCGGCACCCACCGTGGCCCCGCTCGCCCACCCGCGCTGGGCTGGGAGTCGCAAGCGAGAGGGGCCCCCACCCGGAGCCCGGGTGGTGGGAAGCCGTTCGCAGCGCTGTCGCTGGCATGGGGCCAGCAGGATGTCAACAGTGGCCAAGCGGCCGCAACCCCGCCGCCTCCGGGGCCCGAAGCCCGCGGCTATACTGACACCCGCGGCGGCCACTCGGTGCCCGCGCCCCGCTCCCACGCGGGACGCCGGTTCGAGGTCAAACAAGGGAATGGGGGGAACAAGAAGCGGGGCTTTAACGCCCCTGGCACCGGAGTCCCAGGACAGAGTTCCGAGGTGGGTCGGGGGAGGCCCTCGGGCTGCCCTGGGGCGAGGTGTCCGGGTCCAGTGACCCGGGCCGGTCACTTCAGAGCCGGCGACCCCCTCCCCCGGATGGATACGCACCGGGTCCGGCGCAGAGACAGGCGGAGGAGAAAGGCGACTGAGTGAGTCTGGGTCAGGGGTCTCTGGGTGTCCCCTCACCGAGCACCGCACAGGCACCTCGAAAACTCACCAGTCCAACAACCCCGAACCTCCCGGTCGCCCTCCCCCCCCCCCCGCCCCACGCGGTATTTAAAGGGCCGGGAGGGACTCTGAGGAGACCGCCACGGCGGAGCAGAGTAACCTGCGGGCGGGGGAAGACGGCCCGCGGGAGGGGAGGAAATCCAGGTAACTTCATGCTCCGATCGCAGAGCTCTGACAGATTTGACCTACTACAGAATAGTTTTCCTCATGTTTGATGAAAGAGGCCGAGAAGCGCTTGGATTGACGTTGTTCTGCATGCGAGAGGAAACTACCCCCCCCCCGTGGGTTTCGAGTAGTGCGGTC